CTCGCTCTCTCCCTCGCTCTCTCCCTCCCTCGCTCTCTCCCTCCCTCGCTCTCTCCCTCCCTCGCTCTCTCCCTCGCACGCTCATATCATTGGCGTCTCTCTCTCCCCCCAGCCATGCTTCAAGCCGATGACGAGGACGACCTTCTGGAGGAGAAGATGAAGAGTCCGTTCGGGTCGTCATTTCGCACATTTAATGCCACAGATTATAAACCCATCGGTGAGTCTGTGACCCGGAACCGGGAGGTCAGGCCAGATGTAGGAACGGAGGTCAGATAGAAGACTGAAGGGGAGGACGGAGGTCAGATAGAAGACTGAAGGGGAGGACGGAGGTCAGATGGAAGACTGAAGGGGAGGACGGAGGTCAGATGGAAGACTGAAGGGGAGGACGGAGGTCAGATGGAAGACTGAAGGGGAGGACGGAGGTCAGATGGAAGACTGAAGGGGAGGACGGAGGTCAGATGGAAGACTGAAGGGGAGGACGGAGGTCAGATGGAAGACTGAAGGGGAGGACGGAGGTCAGATGGAAGACTGAAGGGGAGGACGGAGGTCAGATGGAAGACTGAAGGGGAGGACGGAGGTCAGATGGAAGACTGAAGGGGAGGACGGAGGTCAGATGGAAGACTGAAGGGGAGGACGGAGGTCAGATGGAAGACTGAAGGGGAGGACGGAGGTCAGATGGAAGACGGAAGGGGAGGACGGAGGTCAGATGGAAGACTGAAGGGGAGGACGGAGGTCAGATGGAAGACTGAAGGGGAGGACGGAGGTCAGATGGAAGACTGAAGGGGAGGACGGAGGTCAGATGGAAGACTGAAGGGGAGGACAAAGGGGTGTGGCTTGAGCAGGGGTGGGGCCTCAGTGTGCGGGGAGTTAGGAGACTGGTGCTGGGATATGATGAGGTCTCTCCGTCACTTTGCAGCTACTATCGATGTGAAGAGGAACATATTTGACCTTTGCACAGACACGAAGGATTGCTACTTGGCTGTGATTGAGGTAAGATCGCCCCGTCCGGGTCACGCGCGTCCTCCATGCATAACGCTGTATAGACGATTGCTCTGCGCTCCTCCCCCGATGGAGGAAGTGTTCTTCAGGAGCGGTTCGGCCCCGTCAGGGGCATTGACCATCAGCTCAGTCTGGTGAGGAGCACATGGCGGCAATAAAAGGGAAACCTGCCCTGGGGAATGGCGTGCCGCTCTGGGCGGAGGGTATGTGGACAGGAAGTGGCGGCAATAACCAGGACGTAGCAATGGCGTGCCGCTCTGGGCGCAGCGTATGTGGACAGGAAGTGGCGGCAATAACCAGGACGTAGCAATGGCGTGCCGCTCTGGGCGCAGCGTATGTGGACAGGAAGTGGCGCAATAACCAGGACGTAGCAATGGCGTGCAGCTCTGGGCGGAGGGTATGTGGACAGGAAGTGGCGGCACTAACCAGGAAGTAGCAATGGCGTGCCGCTGCGGCGGTGGGGGGGGGGGGGGGGGGGGGGGGGGTTATGTAGACAGGAAGTGGCCTCATGGCTGTGTGGGGGGGAGGTTGGGTCGGATGGGGTATTATGTTGTCATAGTCATCCTGCGTTCTCTCTCAGAATCAGGGCACAATGGACGCTCTGAACATGGACACGGTGTGCCGGCTGTACGAGGTGGGCCGCCAGCGTCTGGCTGAGGATGAGGACGAGGAGGAAGATCAGGTAAGAGGGGGGCAAGTAAAAGCCGGTCTGTTAGAGGGGGCGGGGAGGGGGGCGGAGTTTGTGTCTAATCACTGCCGACCTTCGGCCAGGAGGATGAAGAGCAGGAGGATGATGAGGAGGACGATGATGACGACGATTCTGATGATCTGGAGCCTCTGCTGGACGCCGAGATAGAAGATGAGGAAGAGGCCGGAGAGCAGGCCGGGGAGGACGGAGAGAACGACTTCTCCCCTTCCGATGATGAGGAGCTCGCCAATCTGCTGGATGATGATGACGATGGCGATGAAGGACATGAGGATGATGACGACTCCGATATAGACCCCGAGGTGGAGCTGATACTGGGAGACTGTAAGTAGATCTCTTCCCGTTACCGGACCGGGCTGTGTATGATGTATACGGTGACATCTCTGATTGGATAGGCTGCGCTCTCAGTGATGTCACCGCTCTCTAGTGAATGGATAGGCTGCATTCTCAGTGATGTCACCGGTCTCTAGTGAAGGGATAGGCTGCATTCTCAGTGATGTCACCGGTCTCTAGTGAAGGGATAGGCTGCATTCTCAGTGATGTCACCGGTCTCTAGTGAAGGGATAGGCTGCATTCTCAGTGATGTCACCGGTCTCTAGTGAAGGGATAGGCTGCATTCTTAGTGCTGTCACCGGTCTCTAGTGAAGGGATAGGCTGCATTCTCAGTGATGTCACCGGTCTCTAGTGAAGGGATAGGCTGCATTCTCAGTGATGTCACCGGTCTCTAGTGAAGGGATAGGCTGCATTCTCAGTGATGTCACCGGTCTCTAGTGAAGGGATAGGCTGCATTCTCAGTGATGTCACCGGTCTCTAGTGAAGGGATAGGCTGCATTCTCAGTGATGTCACCGGTCTCTAGTGAATGGATAGGCTGCATTCTCAGTGATGTCACCGGTCTCTAGTGAATGGATAGGCTGCATTCTCAGTGATGTCACCGCTCTCTAGTGAAGGGATAGGCTGCACACATAAAGCCCGCCCCCCTTTTCCTGAACCACTCCTACTATTGCTTTGCTGCAAACTTTGAGCATGCTGGGAGTGGGAGGGGCTAGACTCGGCTGTACAGCTTTGCCTGGAGGCAGCAGCATAACCTAACGCCCCCGAATTCCTCCTCCCGCGTCCCTCCAGTCGGATTGTACGGCTCCTTTGCTGGAAGATTTTTGGTGTCTCTGAACCGGTTTCGGATTTTTTGTTTTTCAGCAGACAGCTCGGACAATTCGGACCTTGAAGACGACATCATCCTGGCGCTGAACGAATGAGGGGTCTGCGGTGCGTCCAGGGAACGTGCGCAGGGTCGTTTCCCTCCTGGGGTCACTGTGAGGAGCGCAGAGCCGCCGGGTACCTACCGGGGGGGCGGAGAAATAACCGGCCTCGCCGCGCAGAAAGAAACGGCGGACGTCTCTGATCCCGCACACTCCGAGGCGGAGGACGTTTTGTAAAA